TTGTTGAAAAACTACGGACCTATTTCACTTCTGAGTCATGTGTACAAGCTGTTCTCGAGAGTCATGACGAACCGTCTCGAACGCAGGCTCGATGACTTCCAGCCTCCCGAACTAGCCGGGTTCCGGAAAGGCTTTGCCAGATTATACAAAAGACAGAGGAGTATAATCAGCCATTGTGTCTAGCGTTTGTAGACTATGAGAAAGCCTTCGATTCGATCGAAACCTGGGCAGTGCTGCAGTCTCTCCAACGATGCCATGTCGACTGTAGATACGTCGACGTGCTTAGATGTTTGCACAGAAACGCCACCATGCTCATTCGGCTCCAGGACGACTGCACAAAACCAATCCAATTGCAGGAAGGCGTGAGGAAGGGAGACGTAATTTCTCCGAAACTGTTCACGAACGCATTAGAGGACGTTTTCAAGCTCTTGAACTGGAGTGGCTTTGGCATCAATATTAATGGCGAATACATAACTCACCTGCGCTTCGCCGATGATATAGTCGTTTTAGCAGAGTCTTTGGAGGACCTGAACACCATGCTCATCGACCTTGATGTCGTTTCCCTACAGGTGGGTCTGAAAATGAACATGGACAAGACAAAAATCATGTCTAATGTCCATGTTGCACCTGTACCGGTCATCGTTGGGAACGACATCCTTGAAGTTGTTGACCATTACATACCTTGGTCAGATCATTCAGCTAGGTAGGTCCAACTTCGAGAAAGAGGTCGCCCGAAGAATCCAACTCGTATGGGCGGCGTTCGGGAAGTTACACGATGTCTTCTCATTGAAAATCCCACAGTGTCTGAAGACCAGGATGTTTAACCAGTGTGTGTTGCCGGTGATGACGTATGGTACTGAGACGTAGTCCTTATCTTCTGGCCTTCTTGCTAAACTCAGCGTCGCTCAGCGCGCGATGGAGCGGGCTATGCTCGGGGTCTCTTTGCGCGACAAAATCTGAAATGTGGAAATTCGCCAAAGAACCAAAGTCACGGACATAGCTCGCAAAATCTGCAGGCTAAAGTGGCAATGGGCAGGCCACGTCGCTCGAAAGACGGACGGTCGATGGGCCCGAAAAGTCCTAGAGTGGCGACCAAGGACCGGAAAGCGTAGTGTGGGCAGGCCTCCCGCTAGTTGATTTTTTTTAAATACATTTTTAATAATAACTAATTGTTTTATTATCACCAGCCTGATATAATAAAACTTTTGAACCATATTATATTTAAACATAAATTCGTATGGTTACTTAGCATAAATACAGTAAATAATACACTTACTGTGTTTATGCTAAGTGTTCCCTACCAGAGAGCCTCTAAGAAATACTTAGTATAACAACAATGATTAATTTATTTGGTCTTTCAATAACTCAGTAATCGTGTCTAAATAAGTAATAGATAGAGGCTGAGCTCCTCTTTCATTTAAGGTATCAACCATCATGATCTGATTACAAACAAAGGATTTATGGAAGATTTTCGAGCCAAAACTTTAACCACGTTTTTCTCAAAAGTGTCTAGAGCGTACTTACTGCAACTATGCTATTGACGGTAGAATAGGAACGAGTGTCTAGTAAAATTTTAGTTTTGTATATTTCTACTTACTTTTATAAAATTATTACTATTATGTAGACATGACACCATTTTTTATTAGGTACGTAAGTATTTACATTTACAACCCTAACTTTTTTGTCTAAAGAAAATCATCAATGATATCTCGCGCTCAGGGTACGAATGTAGGGAGTGTCAACTTACGGACTTAAAAAAAACCGTTCCATTCCCTGCTGCAGGTCGAGGCCGCGGTACCTTTTTGCAACCCCGGCTAAACATCTGCCGTATTGGGACCCATCTGTGGTGGTCTATTAACTTTGACGCGTCTTACGCTCGGGTCTGGTGGTGGTCGGGCGGAACCTTGTCCGTCAACCGCAGACCCTCGCTTACGGTGGCCAGAGATCGTCGCTCGTTCTAGTACAAAACTAGGGTAAATTTCGCTTTAGTCAATTTCGCTAGAGTACCTATAAGAGATTGTCTTATCGGTTGTTCTTTAGAACAAGCATGGTTGGTCCCTAATTTATCAAGATATGCCTACCTAAATAATTCATTGAACATAGGTGTTAGTACCTAGATGTTTTGCCATTTTTAAGACAAAGGTAAATATTCCAGTGGCGATAGTCATTCACATTTCTGACTATAATGTTCAGACAAGGTGAATCACCTCAAAGTAGTACGTCACCGTCTTAGAAATGCGTCACATTTACCCGAATTAGATTAAATCAAACAAATCTTGTCATTGAAGTTACTGAATAATACTAGGTACTTAGATAACATTAAATTGCAAGGCCTTAGAGAGTTTAGTGATATTTATGCAAATAAAAAAATAGGTACCAATTCTTTTAAATTACTAATTTTGTGCAATATATGTGTAAAATATTACATTGATATGTTCTTTATTTAAGTACCTAAGGTGTAAACGTCATGAACACGTGTCATTGAAGTCTCACTCTCGTAAACTCACGTGTCGATTCCAACGTGAACGTGCCTGTTAATAAAGTTAAGGCAATATCTAAACACGTAACTTGTAACCCGAATGTGGTCATCAGGTGTAAAGCACAAGTACAATAACAATAAAATTGTTTTTCGGTTAACCTCTACAATCCAAACAAACAAATTTGCTATGAGTATCTTTATTTGTGCAATAATTTACAAAACATGTGTAATGCATTTTCAACGCTATTACACAAGGTTATACACATATAAAGCTATAATTATATAGGCTATCTACATAACACAAACACAATATAGGTACTGACTGTATAACAGTCAACGCCTACTTTCCATATTCACAAAGATATCAATACATAGGTACCATTACATTCTATGAATCTGATAAACTGTGTAACGTTTTATTAGGCAGGTAAGTAAATGATACCAAAACATCATCGAGCACGTGGTTCTGGAAAAATGTTAGTTTTCTTGTCAGAAACTTGTAATTGTATTGACTTGGTAGCTTATAAAACAACCAGCTATTGTTTATTATTAATACTATACTATAAAGAACTTGATATAAAAGCAACTAAAAAACAGTCATATTTGCGTAACCGGAGTGCAATTTATTTACAAAATTAGTTATAACATAGGCACTTAGATAGATACCAGCTTCACATTCCAGCTTTATAGTGTAGTCGTTAAACAGTTTTTTAAAATACTGTATGCATGGATACAAAACATTATGCAATTTTCAATTGCTAACAATAACTTGGGTTATGTTATATTAATTGCCTAAAAATAGACATTGAAATTACCTTTTAAATAATAAACATTCATAGGTGTAATGTTAATAGGAATAATGCAGTATTTTTTAGAAAATCTTAATCATTAGGACGGGTCATTGCCCCTTTGTCAAATTTTCGTCTGCAAAACGCACGATAGCAGGTAGATGACCGCAACCTTCAAGAGTGACTTGTAGACGTTACCAACTGTATAGGCATTTACGAATAATAATACTTAATGGATGTGTGATCAACACGTTACGATAACCGGATCTGAAATTTTATATTTAAATTTATTTTAAAGTTTTATTACTTAGTTACCTGCGGGTTCTGAATACTTATTAAAATAGTGTTAAATTATTACGGAATCATTTCTATTTCCACCTATTTCTTGAAAAGGGGAAGGGTGGATATACTCAACTCAACATTTCCTTCATTTCGCCCGTTTGACAAGGTGAAGGCTGAATTACTGGTATATTTTTTAAAATGCTGTTTGTTAATAAGTAGATACTTGTACTTAGCTGTTTCAATTATTTATAATAACAAACAATATTTGCAAAATAATCATTGCCGTAATAGGTAGGTAGGTACTTGTGGGTAAGAATGGAACAATAATTATTGATTTGAAATTGCACAATTTGGATGTAAGTAGGAATGTTAAAATGAATCTATGTAAGGCTGATTTGATTTTGCACACTTATTTTAATACACATGTAGCACTAGAATCTGAATGAGAGTTGTAGGTGCATTTGTGACTTTAATAAGAATCCGATTTCGCAATCTTATTTCAACTTTTCAAGTCTTGATTAGGGAGGTACGTAGACGTAGGTAACCCGTCAAGGCAAGGCAATATTTTGGTAGGGTTGCTGTTGAAGTCGAAAAAACAAAACATGGGTTTTCAACTGAATTTAATTTATAATCTACCTACTATGTACACACATAATGTTACAGCTAATATGAGATATTGTTATAGCCACCTTCTCCAGATTCTTCTTGTTCTATAATCTTGTTTGCCCACTCTTCTGCCTGCCTGTATCTTTGCCGTTTTACGTAAGGAGCGTACAATGTTTTATGGGCTACTACTGCTGCCGACGTTAAAGATATAGCCATTAACATTTTCATAAGGGGACTAGAGTTTCTGAACCATACTTTAATGTGATCCATTATGTCTTAGTTTCACTGGATTCCTCGCCTGTAACAACTTTACGCTTTCCGAAGTAATCGTCAAATAGTGGCCTCCAGATGTATACTCCGCTAAATACTCCTAGGACTGACACTAAAACAATCTGTCCTCTTGTTATACCTTTGGGCCTATAAATGCGCATTATACAAAACAATCAAACACGGCGCAAGTGAATATAGTAACGCATTTTAGATTATTTTTCTTTCCATTTGTAAAATTTTGAGGTTATATTATGTCACATCGCGTTCCAAGACAGTTATCGCTTCAAGTTTAGTTTTTTAGCATTATACAGTTATGTAAAACGAGTTCATTGTACGAAGAAAGATATAATAATTTGTTATAAAAGTCTTTTGAATTTTATACATATTAGCTGTAACATAAAAATTACTTTATCTTATTAATATCTTACGTTGAAATTTGAGATTGATCTGAGTGCGTTAGACACATAGACAAAAAGAATGTAACTCTTCAAAAACAACATCATTGACATCCACTCATCACTGTCAGACTGTCATTGTCACTGCCAAAACTAAACGTAGTGGTTACATACTCTTTGGTCACTGCCTACTAAATTGACAGAAAAGTGTTTTGATTTGTATCCTGTTTCGTTTTAAATGTGACTTGCTTGCTGGGTGCATCACGAAAAAGTCAAAACATTAAATGTTATAATAACCAAGAAGTACGCTAAAGTAGTTAAGGGTTTCGTAAGAGAAAAGTATCATATTTTCATATTACAATGGCTACTACCAAAAGAATGGTGCCTAACATCCTAATAACAGGTAATATTGAATTTATTAATCAACCTCTATAAACCCACGTGTGGTTTTGCAAGTTCTTTGATTGTTTACTTCTAAATGTTTCGTCTATTTACTTGTAGGTACTCCAGGTGTCGGGAAGTCTACACTTTCGCGTTTATTGGCTGAAAGAACAAAGTTTACCTGGCGAGAAGTGTCCAAATTAGCTGAGGAATTTAGTTGTTTAGACGAATATGATCCAGAGTATCAGTGCCCGTTTCTAAATGAAGACAAGGTAATTATCATGATGATGCATGATGCAGAATGCTGTACTTCTGGACATACTGCGTGTTGTCTAGACATTCCTATCTCTACAGCCCAGACTTTCTTCTGTGGGTCTTGGTAGATGTACCACAGGAGACAAGACATTCTATGGCTTCTGAAAACCTCACAATTTAACCCATTTTTATATGTTTATTTCTTTTTTAATTTGTAGTGTCTTTGTTTCTAGCTGCTGGACATTATGGAAGGTATGATGGCAAAGGGTGGCAACATTGTGGACTACCATGGATGTGACTTTTTTCCAGAGAGGTGGTTTGACGGTGTTTTTGTTGTAAGGACCAATAACACTGCACTCTTTGACAGGCTAACAGCAAGGTATGTTCCTATATAAGTTTGTTGATACTTTTTATCTTAATAAACCGGTCTGGTTGTTCTAATGTAATGTATGATCAAAGGAAGTTGTGATTCAGTTTTATATATAAGTCCATAATTGTATAATTTTTTTTCAGAGGATACACAGGCAAGAAATTAGAAGATAACATTCAGTGTGAAATATTTGAAACATTGCTAGAAGAGGCACAGTCTTCGTACAAGCCAGAGATTGTGGTAGAACTACAGAATGACACAGAAGACCAGCTACATAAGAATGTTGACACAATCACAGAATGGATAGAAAGGTGGAGAGAAGAAAATATATAGTTAATTTATTTTTCTTATATTATCTCTTGTAAATATTATATTTTGTACTTTCTAACTAGCGCCTCTAGTGTCAAAATTGTGAAGCTGTCTAAAACAACACTGACAGTTTTACTAACAATTAACGTCAGGGTAAAAGTAAATTAAACTTAAAAATCAGACTTAAATGGCATTTTGCTATTTAAGGGCTGATTTTTCAATAGTCAGATAAATGTTATCTGAGGAATAAAATTGTTGCTTTCACTGTCCTATACAAACATTCTGACGCAACATCATCGTAATTACTCTACAGGTAACTTTTATCTAACCATTGAAAAATCAGCCCTAAGATAATAATTATGCTGTCAATAGTAGATAGTTGTAAAAGTTCTATTGAATGAATACCCGTAAAAGTAAATAAATACATATCACTACTGAGTAAAAAGAGGGTTAATAATTGCTTTCTATCCTCTTCCCACATAGGAAGACAATTTATTTGAGATTTTTTTAATGGTACTTCTTTATCGTAGCTTATTTGAGGAATATTCTGAGACAGTATGACATAAGGAAACAAGTTGTGCCTTTTAGAATCTGGAACAATAACCATAATTTCGTTATCTGACGAGAAACTCGCCTTAGTGTAAAATAGATTAATAATTATTATGAAATACATATATATATAATTGATGTAAAATAAAATAATTAAAATATAATTATACATTTCTGTTTGGAAAAAAGTTTCACCACATTTTTTTATTAATTTCACACACAATTATAAAAAAAATTCTCAGATCACTAATCAATTGTCAAAACTATTATTAATTTCCTGATAATCTTAGTTTACGAGAGAAAATGTATAAACGAGAGGAATCAATTAGGAAATATTCCATTTCCATGTCGAATAATTTCACAATGTCACTATTTAGTACTTGTTATAACGTTGCAAAACTGAAATTGTCAAATCTGGAATCCAATTAAAATTTCGAATATAGAAAAAAATTCCAACATTTATTCACCCCTTTTCTGTATCCAATTCACCCCTCTAATTCTATACACCCCGTTTTAGGTATCTTTAGCTGTCTAGTGGACAATGTTTATCAAAGCATTTATACACAAGATAGTTTGGTTTAGTCGTAGTTGATAAATCTCATAGTCATTGTAGTTAAAAAGAGAACACATTAGAAATAAAATCACAGATTATAAATACAACCTAATTTATTTGTTATTCCACCGACACTATATAAAGAAATGCATTCAAAATTACTGTATTTAGATAAATCTAAAATAGATTTATACCACCAACATGTCTACTCGGGCGAGCATCACTGGGATGGGATATGGACAAGTTGGCATGCCAGTGGTTCTATATAACGCATGCACCCACACTCTCACACTCCACTCTCACACAGATCTTTCATGGAAAGTTTTACATCACAACTCTTTAGAGCTCTTCCTTCTTGGGCTTGCCCTTTCTGTCCCAGCCACTGAGCTCGCTGGATGCTTGTTCAGCTACATACTTAATGAAATCTTCGAGAGCACGGCCACCCTGCAATAGCATATTATACGAAATTTAAAAAAAAAATTGAAGAAGTTTTATCTATATTAAAATGGCAGCTATAAAAAAATTGTGTATCTAGGTAAATAAGGTATTTTTTTTAGGATTTTCATCCTTAACTATCACAGGTTGTTCAACTCACATTGTATCTGACAGGTTTCTTGGAGTTGTCAGCAGGCTTCCAGTAGATGGTGGGGAATCCAGATACGTCAAACTGTGATTTGGGCCAGTCGTTGGCGGTCGCGTCGATCTTCACGATGTCTACAGCCTCGTCCTTTAGCTGTTAACCAAATCATCATATTATTAATTAAATTGAACTCGAAAATAGCATATAAGTAAAAATTATAATTAACAACAACACAGAGCTCGCTAGTCGCCTATGAAAAATTAATTATGTATAAAAATATGTTACATGCCACAAACTTATTTGTCAAAAGCAGTTTTTCATTAGCCAGTCAATCTGATTCAACATTGATCATACCTTTTCACCAAGTTCCTCCCAGACTGGAGCGAGTTTCTGGCAATGTCCGCACCAAGGAGCGTAGAACTCAATGAGGGCATCACGTCCACTGTCAGTGACCAACTCCTTGAAGTTCTTGCCGACAGCTACCTTCACTGGTCCATCGTTGCTCTCAGGAACAGGTTCGGACTTGACGAAAGGTTCCAATTTACCATCAAGCAGATCTTTTGTGAAAGCCAACAGGTTTTCAATGCTGTAAAAAATAGAATAATATGTTACAGACTGCACTTGGAGTCTTTTCATTGATCTGCAAAGCATTTTGACGTCGATAAATTTCTAGTTGGTCGGTCGTCGATATATTGACATAATGGGGACGTTATGAGTTATTGCTGTGACAGTTTTACCTAAATAATCTAAAATTGTAATTTGGCTGTATTGTACGCAGTACGAGTGTAACAAATTGATGAGAAACCAGGTAAGCATGCATAACGTTAATATTGTCAAAATTATTGCGAGCGAAAAACCACCTTACGACCCGAGTCAAATGTTCGTAAAATGCAGTTCGAATTGTTTCGTTTCCTTGGAAAATTGCATCTAAACTAACTAACTCCAATCCTCAATAAATAAAGTGTTAAAAGGCTTTTTCGTTGAACGATCGGCTGCTTATCATTACAGCGAAGTAATGCTTTAAACAAAGTTAACGGGGCGTAAAACAATCGTAAGAACTAGCTCAATGCGATAACATGACCGTAAAAATATTCAGTTCCATAAACATAGGAATTACATCTCTTTATACTTAAAGTGTTTATACGGAATGAGTTTTCTAACTTTCGACGTGTTCTGGAGTGTTGGCGGGAATCCAACATTTTTGTTTAATTAATTATCCCTGTTTAGGTGTTCGCAAACAACTTTTACACTGTTCGGTAGGAATTCTTGGGTATTAATAACTGGAGCAATATGTCCAAGTCTTTTTCTTTCTTTCTTCTCTCGCCAAAATCCCTTTTAGTTCTACAAAGGATTAGTGTTTCTCCGTAAAGTTATAACCGAATAATAACTTTATGGAGAAAACCTCTTTGACTACTTCATATGGTTTAGTTATCAACTTGACATACCGGAAAGTAAGTCATTTGTATGATTAACATAAGCATGATTCAGTTCGATTAATGACTAACTCATTTCTGCCATTATTTTTCTTATGAGCATGGAATGAGAATAAGAAAGCATTCTCGGCTCTCTTGATGCAATTCCAGACGTTTTAGAGAACAAAACCACACTGTTTACAAAATAAACATAGACATATCAATCAAAATTCAATTTAATCAAAATTTGATTCAAAAAACAGCGTCAAAATTACTAAAACCAACATCAAAAACGAGACACATGCAAATTGTTTTGGAGTTATAACTGATGTAGTAATGAATTGGTAGACACACGTCGATATCATTACCAGTAGGATTAATAAATTTGTATAAGAACTGAAACAAGTAAAAATTGCTAACTTGTATGAATTATTAGATTGGGCTATCGCTTGGGTAAAGCGCTTTTCCATCTTTTGTTAACACAAAAGTAATTTGTTTTGAGCTGGTTAGCACTTCCGCGCGGTTCCAACTGTGACTTCGCAATACGGTTGTTTCCAACTAGTCAAATTCAATACTTTTATCCAAATGTCAAAAACGATACTTTTCTATGAAAATTATATGAAACATTGAATTATGACGTCATAGCATTTTTGCGTCAAATAGCTTACTCATTTTTAAAAAATTAGCTAAAAAATATCTAAAACTTACTGTATCGATCGATCGATGAATAAAAGTATAGTTATTTTTCAATATTTTATCGTATTAAAACGTCGATTTAATTTATTTTTGACCTAGGAAACTACCCAATTGTTTACTGCAGTGTACAATTAGGAATATCCGCGTATTGGCGACCTAACTTGAATCTATGTGTATCTTAAATCTGTATCTTAAAACGCCTCTACACCTAACTGCCATCTAACCTAACTCGTTTACATAGTTGTTAGGACAAAAATATTCGTGAAGAAAATGTATTACCTGAACTCAGTGGACATGACAAATTTGTTGCCATCGGCGTCCCGGCCAGCGACGACTGGCTTGTCACCCTTAGCGTAGTCAATGCCGTACTCGTTCAGTTCATGGGTGAAGTCGTCCTTGTCGCTCACTGCGAATGTAACCTCTGACTGCTCTTTGGCAACCTGGATAAAGGAATAAGAACATCATTATCAAAAAGAATATTAAATTAACAGATTTCGGCCCACGATATACAACCTTATTTTTTTTTTTTTTTTTTTACGGTTCCGTAGCCAAAATGGCAAAAACGGAACCCTTATAGTTTCGTCATGTCCGTCTGTCCGTCTGTCACAGCCGATTTACTCGGAAACTATAAGTACTACAGTGATGAAATTTGATGGGAATATGTGTTGTATGAACCGCTACAAAATTATGACACTAAATAGTAAAAAAAAGAATTGGGGGTGGGGCCCCCCATACATGTAACTGAGGGATGAAAATTTTTTTTTCGATGTACATACCCGTGTGGGGTATCAATGGAAAGGTCTTTTAAAATGATATAAAGTTTTCTAAAAAACATTTTTCTTAAAGTGAACGGTTTTTGAGATATCAGCTCTCAAAGTCGTAAAAAGTATGTCCCCCCCCCTCTATTTTTATAACTACGGGGTATAAAGTTTTAAAAAAAATAGAGGTGATACATGCTAATTAACTCTTTCAACGATTTTTGGTTTGATCAAAGTATCTCTTATAGTTTTTGAGATAGGTTGATTTAACTGTAATTTTGGTTAAAGTTTACTATATTTGTTGCTACGGAACCCTTTGTGCGCGAGCCCGACTCGCACTTGGCCGGTTTTTTATTTTAAAAAAACTTTGCCCCACACTAGGATTTTCTCCTGTGTCGTGGGTGCGTTTACAAACATACAATTTCACATGCACACCACACCCAGACCCGGAACAACAATCTGTTGATCACACAAAGAGTTGTTCCGTGCGGGAATCGAACCCGCGACACGTTGCGCGGCAGCCAGAATTATCATCATATATTATCTTTTATCATAGATAAAATTTTAATTAAACCGTTTTGCGGTTTTTTACTATTCCATATTCATAAGGGTCAGATTGAGACCTTATTAGGAAGTAAGTAATTATTGAGGCTCTGTTGACTGTTTATCTGTCACCAGACTGTCTCACACGGACTGGGATACATACACAGTTGTTTTTATTAGAAAACGGATATGCTGTATACGATGAAAGACTTCGTTTCACGAATTTTACTTGAGAGCCTCTTTTACAATGTCTGGTTAGTCAGTGTGTCACATAAATTAAATTTAGAACTTAATCTGTATAAATGATGTACCACATAAGAGGAAGGTGGTGAGACAGGCCCTATTTTACGAAGAATTAGGAACTGCTTAGTTTTTATTTTTACTAAATTTTGTATTTCTTGTCTTCCATGGTTTGTGAATCCACATGAAGTTCCTTTTTTATGCTCGACGTTAATATTGTACCTCCTTAGTGCAGTAAAGCAACCGTGAAGAATGGACCATAAAATTTTAATTAAGATAAATGTTACACAAAGTGTACGTACACTCATTCGTAATTAGTTCTTCAAAACGTAACCATGTGAATAGTTGTTGACATAACTGACTGTAGTTTTTCGACTGACGTCTATATTGTTAAAGATTTACATAATTGTAATAAACTTTCATGATCGTATCATTTTTGATTAAATTGACTAGGAGTTCAATCATTTTGTATTGTGCATACTAATGTCTGTTATCTAAAGGTAAACTATGAACGCCGTCCTCGGTTTCCTATGGCTTATGGCGTTTAGGATTACAGTCGCCAAAAAATTAAAGTACCTTATTGCAGGAGAATTGGGAAATATGTAAATCTTTCATTAATAGCACGTAATAAGTACTAAACTTTTTTGTCAGAAGAAATATACTTTTTTTATAAGAACAAAGTGTGCATGTCCTATTAGACTGTACACATAGAATATACTAGAACTCCATACCTTGAGCACACGGTTCCTCCAGTAGTTGGTACCCTTGGGGTTCTTGACGTAGTCCACATCGTAGTAGGCAACAACCAGGGGGTCGCTGAAGTCACGGATGTTGTCCTTCTGGCGGATGCCGACCAGACCGTGGCTGCAAAATTCATACATTTGTTATAAAAATCTTTTAATTATTGGATGATGATAAGAAAGTTAATTATAATAAATAGATGAGGGTGGCAAGGCTGGAGTGGTGAAGTGTTGTTGAATATGCATTAGCTTACTGCTGACAATTACATATATAGGGTTAATAGAACTTACAAACGCCAATTATTTTATTGCAAAACTGCAAAAACATAATTTTGTATCCTTATTGGGATTATTTTAACCTGATATATATCTGATAAATTTTGTGTGTCGATGCCGATAACAACTAATCAGAATTTATCAGTTGCTTTATAGAGTCTGCAGAATATATAATAAGATGTCGTTACTTATACGTCATCTCGCAAAATCCCTTAAATGTAAAGTCAAACACGAGTCTAGGCTATACTGATTACGTGAGAATCAACAAATAAACTTTACCTCATAGACGTACCAACGAAATCTAGCACAGCCTTCGTATCAAAACAGAACCTAGTATTGTATTCTAGAGTACCTAAATAGGACAGTATAGTATCAAACACACTCACAAGTTCTCCTTGATGAAAGCCTTGAGCGAGTAGGTCTCAGGCTCTCCCTTGTACACGACGGACGAGTCTTCAAACTTGTTCTGCAGGCGTTTGGGACGGAACAATACAACGTCGTTCCTGTTGACAATACAATACAAACATGTTAATATTACATACGCACATAAATTACCTGTACTTGACAGGTTTAGGTTCAGGTTTACTGATGAAGTAGGCTGAAACATGAAGTTCTTGGTCCATATAAAATTTTATCGTCGTTAAGTAACTCTTTGCTTATTTGGACCAATTGAGTATGGATTTGTATTTTGGGCCGTTTTTAATACAAAGGAACCTAATGAGATGTTGGCAAGCAATTATGTGTAGGTAACTAGTTGTCGACCGCGGCTCCACGCCTGCGTAGATGCCGATTTTACACTTTTAAAAGATTTATTTTTTAATTTATCTACGGCAAACCTTTTCTGGACTTCCACGAATAATTTAAGAACAAAATTAGCCAAATCGGTAAAGTCATTGTTGAGTTATAACGTTACAATGAAAAGTGGAATTGGTTTTTGTATTATATAGAAGATATACTTATGTATATTTACCAGTTTAGTTTTTCAGAAAAGAAAACGTGTAATAATTAATATGCGGATGCTCTTGCTATACGTCGATTGAATAATAAGCGTGAAATTTTGACTGATATAGTCAAATTATGCATGCAGTAAAGTGAAGAGAATTACAAATACAAACATCGCGTCTAAAATGTTGAAGTGCTAAATAATGTAGATTGTCAAAGTCCAATGACTTTTCGGTGATACATCTTTCTATTGTTTCGAAGGGGAACTCAATAATTATGGCAGACAATTTATTAAGGATATTGGTCATAATTTTACTGGTTTAATATTTGACCTACATTACTATAATCAATATTGTTCTTCCCACGAGGAAAATAAGGTGATTTTTATTAATGATCATAAAGTTTGTCAATCGCCAAACAATCTATAGTGGATTGCTTTATAAATACATACCTAGTTTATAGCCGAATACCTTAAATTTTCGTATTTACAAGATCTCGGAAACGGCTCTAACAATTTCGATAAAATTAGTTTCGTAAGTAAATGGTTTTGAAGACGAAAGACCACGTTGAGAATGTGCTATGTGGTATGAAATATGGCGTGATCATCAACGTCTTTTATGGTAAGACCTTGATGGATTGAGGTTTGAACTGTTAAAAAACTGTTTGAAAGTTAATTGTTTTGTTTTACATTGCGAAATAACTTATCAAAGTTAAATCTACATGACTTTCCAATTTCCATTATTATCGCCACAGCACCTATTTATTTATCGTCTCTATATTAAAAAGTTACGTAAATGAAACGGTAATTATTAATGTAACAGTCGCATTGTTTTTACTGTTGTTGATTACGAAGCTACTACTGTTGATCAGTTACTAAGTGGCGTTAGGTACGTACGCGAGACAAGGGTATTTGACACCTGTATTGGACTGCTCAGACGATAAACAATATGCAGTAAGGTCATAAGAACTTGCATCGAAGTCAGTCCCGCAGCAACGAAAATAATGTTATTTATGCAATTGTTAGAATAAAGGAAAACACTGGGAATAGAATAGAATAGACAAGACATAGACAATTAGAAAATACAAGGATTATTTTCATAACATTGTTTTAAGTGTGGGAGAGCCATGTTTCGGCACGAATGTGTTGGCTCGACCGGAGTGATACCACGGCCTCACAGAAAACCGGCGTGAAACAACCACAGCGTTGTGTTTCGCCGTGTGAGCGAGGTTACCGGAGGCCCAATCCTTCCCTCCCCCGATCCCTCCCCAATCCCTTAATCTCCAAAACCCTTATCCCTAAGAGGTCGGTAACGCACTCGTAACTCTTCCGTTGCAGGTGTCTATGGGCGGCGCTGATTGCTTACCATCAGGTAATCCGTCTGCTCTTTTGCCGATCTATTACAAAAAAATAATGATAAACTTCTTTTTTAGCCCTTTTTTAAAAACAAGAAGTGTTTTTAGACTCTCGGAAAGGTAATCAGTTCTATTCTAGTTTTCTGATTACGGATTAGGTTCAGAAAATAAAAAAAATATATGAGTTCGAGCCTGAAAGGTCACATAAACTTATTAATATTTCGCATGTACTTCAGAACATGAAACGTACAAAATCGTTTATGAGTCCGTCACGGTAATTTGAAAGTAAGATAAACAAGCGTTAACTAAAGTAGGACAACTATGAGTTTGTAGTGACGTTATGATATGTTAAACTATAAATACTAACATGATAAAGTAACGAAGGTAAGACTATAGAACATGGATGCGGGTTCAAGTTCAATAATGTATAGAGTCCTGGCTCATAGCAAGAAAAAGAATGGGGAGGTTTTTAGTCAGTAAGTCTGACACTCCCTCACACTCCAACCAGGGGGGAGTCGTTAATAAATTGTTCCCCTCCAAAATCGTAATACTTAGCTTTGAAAATTGTTTGAGTAATACGCACGAAATGAGTTTCTTTTAGGAATTAAAAGGGATTGATTGGACTTAGGATATTATAATGTATGTAAAATGTTAAAAATTCGTTACTTAGCTAAAATCAGAAACTAAATTAATAGGTATTTATGTATAATCAGAAATTGAATTAATTAACTAGTATATAAAATAAGCCAATTCTTCAAACGCTATCATATTACTACAACTAAACAATTAGATAACAGAAATAAACGAGAAAATAAATTCAAATTATTAAAAAAAAAAACACATTCGTGGTGTAAATTGAACACAGATAATAAAATTGTCGATGAGCGACATAGGTATTCAACGCAACAGAATATTAATGTTAATTATACCGTGCGTGTAAACCTGTCTTTTGAAAGCCAGTCAGTCAATAAAGTAGGTACACGTGGTTTTAAATATTTTACGTTACCTACGTTAGTCACCAATATCCATTTGAGTTTGATTAAGCATTAATTAATCCAAATAGGGGAATAGTAATGGTCGTTTCACCACATATTATTATTATGAGCATCCCCTCTGTCTCTCCAATGTACTAATAGAGAGACGCGTCTACCACAATCATAATACTTTTTTTAACGTTGCCCACACAGGATATTTTCGTGTGCTGTGGTTGCGTTTACAAACATACTAATTCATGAACATCGACCACCAGATCCGTAACAACAATTTTTGGATCAAAAAGTTGCTCGATGCGGGATTCGAATTCGCGAGACGTCGTCGCGCAGTAATCAGTTGCACAACCACCTGAATATATGACGTGCAGTCACGGACAAGGATGATTTAGTTCAGTTTCACCGTTATGATGCAATTTGATGCAGTTTCACACTTATTGAATTAAACGACTACCTACATACACACCTATTAATTTTGTAAAGGATGCTTTATTTCCGATTTTGCAATAAGATTAATACATACGTTTTAAGTTTCCCACTTGATTACCACTTTGGTTATTGCTAATATATTTATACATTTTCCGATTTCAAAAACCTTTTTTCATAATTTATCTAGGTTGAGTACTTGGAGTCAAGTTTTCGTAAATATTTCGTAAGTTATTATAAAAACTTTTTTTGTAATAGAAAGCTAAGCTCGGGTAATAGTTTGATCCATAATAAGATTCTAGTGACAATAAAGCGCCCTATACATTCTGTCAAGTTAGATTTATCATACATTAATCTTTCTGGTGCATACGTTGTCCGACAATTGCATAGGGGGACCATTGCCTTGTCATAACATTATCAATTTATTTTCCGACTGCTACCTATTGCGTAAATCAAGTTAAACTTATGTTTCCTGTGTTCTAGTCTAAATAATAAAAAACACGTTTTTTAAAAAATAAAATTGTTCCAGATTATGATTTTCATCCTAAATGCAAGCAAATTCACAAACGTGCGGGAATCGAACCCGACATATTGCACAGCAGCTAGTTGCCCAGCCACTGCGACAAACGAGCAGTTGTTTCTGAATAAGACATTTCATAGCATTTATTCAATGTTAAAAAGCGCATCCAATTCATTTCACACGACGTACTATCAGCGCTTTTCCAACAAAAATCGACTATACTCAGGCGTTCAATTTGATGTTCGTGGATGTATATAATATGTATGTAGGTATACTTAGATAGACCTTTAATAAAGAAGAGCTTTAATAAAAAGTTGTCCAGATAAATAAATAATTTGATAACATGTATCACCGAGTCTGTTATCGACATGAATGTCAAATAACTACTATGTCAGAACAGCATAAAAAAGGTTAAAAAGTTAAGAGAGTTTTAATATAATGTTGTAAGGTTAAAAGTGACTCGTTAAGAACATTTGTGTACACACGAGAACAAATGAAGTTAGAATTTATTGATGAAGTTTACTTAAATACTTATGCAACTGTTCAAATAATGTTACTTGCTAATAATGTGGGCACATATTGTATTTACATTTTAAAAAAGGCAATTAATCAATAATAGGTTCTGATTTCAGCTTTTTCGATTGATTTATTACTATTTCATGTTTTTTTTTGTGATTTTTAGTTAACTTTGTTGAAGTCTTACCCGTAATTAGCCGTCTGACTGTTTGCCTAAGTTGCAGCAAGTCAATGAGAAGACCGAACGTCAAAAAGATCGCGGTAATGTAACGCCAACTCTCTATTCTATTCTAATATTAATAAATTCTATAAAAACTGCTTCGTCACGGAATTTAAAAATAATTACTAGTTGTAACTTTATTTCATACCAGATCCTGATATACAGATAGCACACATAGCAAGCTAGACCATAAATAATAAATAACATAAATAAAAATGCAATTTAAATTAGTACTTAACAACCGTGATATGACGATACTTTTGTAAAGGGATATTTTTTACATTTCAAACAATGCATGGCAAAAATATAAGAAGTTGTGCAGCATATTAGATTTTTGATAATATGTAGTTGGGCTATTGGATTTGGACCTTTCTTTATTTGGTTGGTATTTTACTACTAATTACAATCTTGTAAAAAAAAACTGCTGTTCATTAGTCTCATTAGATCTTGAGAATGGCTCGCCCAATTTGGCTAACTTTGTTCTTAAAATATTTGTGGAAGTCCAGGGAAGATTTAAAAGGTCAGAAAAAACTTTTGTTAATATTAAGGTGGCTGTAAGACCGTGTTAAATAAAATAAAAAATTATAATAAACTTACTTGTATCCAGCCTTCTCAAGGACTTCCTTAGCAGAAGTGTGTCCAAAGGTGACCTCTTCACGCATCTTGTCAGCAGTCTTAACAAAATCACCTTTAAGATCAGTCTCCTTCTCAAAGAAGCCAACAACGACAACCTCATCCTTCTTTAGGAATGCTTCGTAATCAGCAACAGTCTTCAGTTCCTTAGAGCTGGGCCCAACTTGGGCACGCATGTATTTTACAATGCCATCTGTGAGCAAAATGTAAAATTATTTTTGATTTCAAATTCTATTAATCGGTAAAACAAATAGTAAATATTATTTTTAAAAAAAAAAAGTCAAGAATCATTTATTCCAATTAGACCTTTACAGGCACTTTTGAACGTCAAACAATAATTTTGAAGATCAAGTCAAGTCAGTCTGTCGGTCAGTCCTCTTAGTGAAGCTATTTGCTCGTTCCGATATTATATATTTTATTTTCTGATATTATTACTGTTTCATTCATTAAACCCCAAGCAAATTGTACACATATTGTGTCTTGAATTACCATGTATGAAAGGTTAACTATCAGTAACAAAATATATTACTATTGGTAGCTATTAATAAAACCTTATAATCATGAAAACTATTCACATCTTATTAGAATTAATTATAATTGTCAGCATTTCAAATATTGTATGATATTATCAATACAACAGGAAATTGAAACAAGTGCTTTTATCTCTCCCCAACAGAGTTAATAAATAAAAATAGAATTTATTTTATTAAGCTTTTCACTATCCTGTTTTGACAGGACAGATAAGACAAGTGCTCTAATACCAATGTTCAGCAAATAGTATTTATTATTTGTTTTATTTGTGAATGTCTTTGCAAATATAACGGTTTATAATAGACAATATGAAACTTATGTTGATATGATGACGAAAAGTATGTGTCTGGGAATTTCTTTCAAAAATATGAGAAATAAGATTTATGATTATTTACTTATATCTCACTCAGGGAGAGATTGTGTTGTGACTCTGTTATTTCTCTATATTATAAGAGAGATATATAATAGATAACTCTTAAGAGAGAAACTATAAATAAATGGGATTAAAGTTTCTAAGCTTTGTATTTAAAGAAAAAAGGCTGTTGTTAAAGATGAATACATGTCTTACTAGTTAAATGATATTAATTCATGTAAGAATAATGTGGCAAGCACACACCTGATTCAAGTTAGTTTTCTACTACAGTAGCTTAGTTGATTTAAAAAAATGTTTTCTCCAAACCTATGAATTGTTAGTGTTTATAGTACAAATAAATTATCATTCTACCTTCACAGTTTTATTAATATAGAAATGTGGATCATGTAATAAAGATCAATAAGTAAATTGTTCTAGAACTTACTTGATTCCCTGGGACCATTGTACTCCTGGGAAACTTCTCCCTTTCTGAAGATCTTCAGTGTGGGGTATCCTGACACTGAGAACTGCTCACATGTGCTCTTGCCACCCTCAGTACAGTCAACCTTCGCCAGCGCGACAGGAGGGTCATCGTTCTTTAGCACGCCGGCCGCTACCGCGTACTCCGGCTTCAATCTCTTACAATGACCGCACCTAAAAACAATTACACACGTAAATCAAACAACCAGCCCATTACACGCCATTCATAAGTTTACAGTTACGATAAATTATTAATTACTTACCATGGTGCGTAAAACATGACAAGAGCAGTATCATGTTGGCTCAACACAGACGAAAAGTCGGAATCTGTAAGATCCAATACATCTTCTTCGGCAGCTCTACATAAATAAATTACACCTAATAATAAAACAATTTTTAGTGACCCCAACATTTTTAAATTTTTATCGGCACTTTTAAAAACCGTGCGCGATTCTTCGCCGTCCAAGTGAAGCTGAGGAAAGTATGCAGAGCCAGAAAGGACAAGGACCGGAAAAATACACGTATGATGCCGATGATGACACTTGCCGGCACAGCGTTGGCTGATTCTGATTGGTTTATTTTTGCTGCGTTCTGAAAGTGGTAAAATTTCAGTTTCAGAAACAAAAAAAAATTACACTGTATTTTACACAATAATGAGAAACTTTGCATATCATTTTTTAGAAAGGTTTTCAGAATTTAAAATTTCAAAATTCCTCTCTATATAACAATTTTACCTATTACTACTTGTTGTTTTTTTACTTTGTACTAAATGACAAAATTTTAACGCATGTTTGTATTAGAAATATCTCAGATTAAAAAAATGATTCAGAGTAATAAATAACATGGCATATTAAAATCGGTATTATTTTTTTGCAAATTATTTTTACATTTTGGTAGTTTTACTTTACAACAATATGTAGGTTCTCAATTTCACAGCTGTGGTAATACCAATACCTTAGCTTTTTGTCAGTTGGCTTCGCTGTCAAACGGAAAATGGCAGCGACGAGTGTTGTCGTTCTCGACAGAGGCAACAATACAACTTGTACCGTAAATCTTTTCGGTAAGTAATGTTTTGAATTATTTGATAAGTTAACTATAATAAGTAAGTATATTTTTTTCATTATATTACAAATTATCAGAGCATTTTAAGTGGCGGCAGTCTAACCTAAACTTCTTTATTTATTTTTGAAATTGAACGCGCGTAATTTTAAAATGTTATGTTTTTATAGTAATTTATAAATCATAAATTGTATGTATTTGTATTAATATGTGTGTGAAGTTACCGAAAATAATTTGTAACGTGGTGTACGTAGTGTAGTTAGTGGTGTTTAGTTGATAGGTAACTAGTTTTTTTTTCATATTGAATAGAATAAGTTGTCTGCGGCGGCTCTGACCTTGGCTATTGGATTGTAGGAAGTAAACTGTAGATACTTGCTTTTAAATTGTAGGTTGGTATTTGATGTACTCACAAAAAATAATCATAAGTCATACACTAGCAATAATTTGGCTAATACATTAGGAAATCAGGATGATCATGATCATTAAAGTAAACTTAGCTGTGAAATATAACTTGATGCTTATTTAATTGTAGATGCATTTCAACATATATGAATTAACCAACCGATTAAGTACTAAGAACTACAAAATCAGGAGGAAATGCAATTTCATAGCCCTATTAAGTGTAATCATTTAAAACTTTTAATAATTTTTATCTTATTGCAGGTGCTACAGTAGTATCATGGAGAGTGAATAATCAAGAACAGTTATTTGTTAGGTAAGTTTTCTTCTGGTAATTAATTTTCATTAGGTATTTTCTGTAATTCTTACTTTATTTACTTAAAAACTTATCTTTGCTAATTTTGTAGGATCATTCAGACAGTCTAATAATTCGATTGGTGAATGTGATCATAAATAGGATTTGATGAAGTAAATTATAATATATGTATTATTATAATATTGAAACAATAACTTCTTAGGAAAAAAATTGGGTAGGCATTTTACGTATCAAAAACATGAAAGAAATCAATGTTCCAGTACATTTTTGCTATAATCAGTAATATTTTATTACAAATTATAAAAAAAAATCATTGAAAATTGCATAACAGATCCAGTATGTATTACAGGATTTGCATATCCATAATATACACATTAACTGTTGCAAGCGGCTTCCCCTTCAGCATTAGTACATAAAAATTTTCCTATACCATAGGCAATAATCTCTCTCAAATTCCAGACTATAATCTATCTCTATGCTAAATATCATTCAGATCTATTCAGTAGTTTTACATGCAATAGTAACAAATATCCTACAATACTCAGAAACTTTGGGATATTAAGAAGGGAGCATTGTAACTACTTAGTATTTATCTTAAAATCACTTCTATTTATATTATTTGACTGTAACTAATTGGTCTGAACACATGCACAAACTTAACATTTCAAGCAATCCAACTAATAATTACCATTGACTGTTTAATTCATCTTTGACACTGTGTAATTAGTCTTTGTGCTTGTAATTTGATTTGCATTAATTACATACGCCATTTGTATTTGCATGAATTAATATGCTTTGGGTTAGCAATAAAATAGTCATAATTTACAGCAGAACAGCTTCCTAATTGTTTTGTTAATTGATATTATTTCTGTAAAGAATCGTAATTAAAACTGTTATTTTAACTTGATACTGTTTCCGTTACTTTTGACGTTTTCCAAGTGTCGATGGTAAAAAGTATAAGTTCTTATAAAGTTTTTTACGAAACTTTCAATTTAAAATTGATTTCTGACAGTAACTATAGGTATAGTGATTTCTTACGCCAAAAATATAAAACCTAATAGACAATAGTATATGGAGCAACACGCAGTTCAAAGTTTATAAGGGGTAGGTAGTGTTTTTTAAATTAGCAACGTCGGTTGTCGCGAAACACAGTACAGATACAACATGTTTTAAAAAAATATTAGTTGGGATATGCATGTTAGTGATAAATCCACGATGAAATAAAAAAAACGCGCGAATTGACGTAGGTGGTTATTTTACGTTTGAAAAACTAGATTGCACTAGTTCAAATTAAAGTTTATACACGTTTCATGTTTATTCAAATGAAAATAGCCGTTTAATAAATGTTATTGAAAATGTTAATTTAATCGACAAAGCTGTGATAGATTACGGTCTGCTTATTGTTGATTAAAATTTTTCATAAAAATCATTTTTTATGTGCCTACCTACCTATTGGTGTTAATGTATTTAAACGACTCAGTTAAATACTCAAACTTTATTGGAAAGTTCGTCAAATAATTATGGCCAGTTTCAACAACTTATATCGATATGCATAGAAAAATGATGAGTTTGCCATAAAGTTTATTTAAAATGCATGTGCACTTCGTAACTTAAGTAAGCCCGAATTAAGGGACCTAAAGTATTACCTTGGGGAACTCCTATAAAATTATCAAATCGTTTGATGAAGGTAAAACCACTTTTCGTAATTATTTTTGTATTTTTCCGCTGTAATAGATTACATCGCAGTCATTCGTACATGACTATACTTCATTTATCTACACTACACATATTTTTGCGTAATTCACAACATTGGAAAAAGACAAAACGCCAATACAGGGTTATCTTTAAAGCATCGATAATCAAAATGCTGTCTAATGGTGATCCAATATGATAAAAACCTTAATACAATTTCTCAATTGTTCAAATGAGTGGACTCTAGTCTTTGTCATTTCATAATCATCTCTTGTAAAGTATATATTAAACTTGTAAACTCGAAGTCGTATCTTATAGCGGATCTAACGAACTGCTTAAATCCTAGAAACATGAACAAAGACCGACTTTCAGAACGACTAAGGTTAGATCGTAGACAATAGTTGCCCGTGAAGATGATATACAATGAGGGTTTGAGAATACACTAATGAGGACAAACTGTAAGCTTAGTTTACTATTTCGGCATATTATCTACATAGACAAGGTGCAGTAGAAAATAAAACAGTAATATTAATAGTTAATTGAGTAATAAAGTCTCCGAATTAATAGAGTCGTTTTGCTAGTACGCCGCAAATGTAAAATTACTTATTTAACCGACGCAGTTGCGTTGAGATGTGAGCGTGTACGTATATTTTAAAATAAAAGGTATTTTTCGTCCTATCATTATTTGTGCAAAGGTGTTGGGATACATTTGTATGTTTCGAGTTATCAGACTGCGTTTAAAATGCACCAACTGTAGGTTGTAGGTATATTTAGAGGTTTTATAAGACCGACCAAATATAAAATCGGCGGATTACAAGAACTTTCTGATTCAGTTTTCATTATCTTTAAAATTTTAATTCGTTTCACTAAGGGCTGATTTTTCAATGGTTAGATAAAAGTTATCTGGGGAATGATTATCATGCTGTCGCGTCAGAATGTTTGTATAAGACAGTGACAGCAAAAATTTTATTCCTCGGATATCATTTATCTGACATTTGAAAAATCAGCCCTAACTCGAAGGTAACAAGAACTCGAAGGTGAAAAGGTAACAAGTTTTAGGACTGGTATTTTGTCTTCACATTCATCAAACTTAATCCAAATTTTCTTAAAAAAAAATCTTTATTATAACCAGGTTCTTTAGCTCCGCCTCATAAATTCAGAAATTGCTGAAAATATACTGGTGGAATAATTAAAGTGTACCCAAGTTGGGGAAACATTAAAAACACACTCCATAAGTGTATCCGCGTCGAAACGAGCGTCTTCCGCTAATGAGCCATGCTCGATTAGTGGGGATTTTGGCTCGAGCTAGTTACTGCAGGAAAATGTAAACTGAGTTTTGGGATATTATTGCTTGAGTGTGAGCATTGTTCTTCTGTTTTCATCTTTATTATTATAAAGATTTTGCTATCTTCGCGTTATGCGTGCGTTTAAATCGTACGGTAGTTTCCAACTAGTCAAATTCAATACTTTATCCAAATGTCAAAACGAGACCTTTTTATGAAACTCCAAATTATGACGTCACAGTACTAAGGTCAATAGCTTACTTATTTCTAAAAATAAGCTAAAAAAATATCGAAAATGTAGTGTATCGACAGATCGATGATTAAAAGTATAGATATTTTTCGAATTAATTTATTCTTGAACTTGGAAATAACCCAATTGTTACTGAAGTAGTAAAAACCTCACACGGAGAATTGATTAATCTATTATCAACATGGTACATGAAGCAGACACAATATTCTTTTTACTTAAACGGTTTTTGAACTTCCATTGTCCGAACGTACATACCTATACCTTTTATAAGACAATGTCGTAATTAAAAATACAATAATTAGATTCCTTTAAAAAGCTCTACCTACTATCTTTCTTTTAAAATCAATTTGTCAGAAATTATAGTAACAGGTTACAAGAACATGAGTTCTCCCTAAGTTTTTTTCACCCAACACAATGACTATGAAATAGCTCATTGAAGTCAAAAAGCTCTCAGAACCGCGATGATTATAGCAATCGGAAAATCATTAAATCATAATAATATCGATGTATCGATGAAGACAATGCGATTCAGACTTCTTCCATATCCGTTAGTTAATTGAATACAATGGAAGTGCTTGCTTATCTCTTTATATTACGAATGTACATATATTGATTATGGATAATGTTACTGGTATCTCCAGCTAGTTAACGCTGATTATTATCTTACCTACCATCCACTTCTAGTGTTATATCTTTCTTGTGCTTTCACATTATCTAGACCCGTTTTATCACTAAAAACCATTTCTCTTTTAAATGCAATTATTATGCTTCCCGTATTACCTTTTCTGGTCGTAACTGTGTATTAGAGCTCACTAATCATTAGTTTTAGTGGATACACTGTTATTGTTAGTAGTAAAATAGGATGTTTTAAAGCCTTTCTTGTCTAGACATTCCAAAGGATTCGAAGTTGAATTGCAGGATCTTTTAGTTTAACTAATAATCTATTCTAAGGTTTTAAGTGTTTAATCCTCTCCAGATTTGTTAACACTTATTGTAAATGAATAGAAATGTTAAGCGTTGATCATTAATAAGATCCTAATTCATTGCTGTTATACAAGTAACACCATGTCTTTATGTTACCGCAATTAATTCGAAATCAATTTACTGACAACGTATTGTGCGGATGCAATTTGGCGTTGAGACAAAAACCCGTCTCCGGGCCGCGAATGGCTCTAACAAACGACCGACTGCCACTAATGATTCTATGTACAATATACGACTATACTTTGTATAGCTAGCCAGTAGCCACTGTAGCTACACATTTGATGCTAGTATCATTACCAACAAATTGATTCGCTGGATTAATTTTCTCTACTTCAAAGCTAATAGGAACATTAACATTACTGATAAAATGTTTAATTATAACTAGAGTATGGGCTTGATGACAGACTGCTTTGAAGTGACAACTGGTGGTCCTTGTTAGTTAATTACTTTTTGATTAGGTGCGGAATACTGTAGAAATTGTATCTTATTAGTTGGGATAACGATTCGAACTGTTATCTATGTTTGAAAAGTAGTTTGGTTTTCCAGTCTTCTACGAAGTTCAAATGTATTTATTAAATAATGAATCAGTAACTATAAAATTAATAATAGATATTGACGTATGCTTTATCTTGATTCAGCTTCGCTCATATTTCACCTTAAAAAATTCTTGCTTGCTCGTTTATTTTAGTGGGTAGTTTTAATCTTGAATTAAACGCCGTTTTAATGTCTTTCTCGCGGAATTTGGTAAATTAAATAAGCGATGTCCAAGGGATCCCTGGTTGCCGACAAAA